TTTTTTTGATACATAATTAACGAAGATGAACAATATATTTATAATCACCCTTGTCCCTGTCATACTACAAGATATCCCTACAACGTAACTAATGGACAACTATAAAAATTGCTGATGTCGCAACTTTTAGACACCAAATCGATTCCGGGATAGTTGGCAACAACTAGATGTCTAAAAATTTTTGTTGAATAGAGGCCCTGAAGACATCTTCATGGTCTTCCAATTTACAAATCGTTTGGCGAACTAATAACAGACGGATATCTTTAAGCCGTCTACAATTAGTCGGAAGTTAGACGAATTTTTGTTATCCTTTAGAGTGTCGTAGAGACAGTTTATATACTTGCTGAAAAAGTACGCTAAAGCGGACATTGGATATCTTCCAGGTATACGCGGCGGTGACTTTACAGTCAGACTCATAAGATATCCACAACTTTTAAAGATACCACGGCGTCATCTTATAGACAACCTGTTTCTTATTGGGTTATGACTCCGGAAGTCCGAAAATGTCATTTTTAGACTGCGTCTGTATGTGTATATGTAAAAAAGTTTTCCTTCAATTGTTCACTAATGAATCGATGGAATTGAATCATTTTTCTGTCAAATGATGGTATGTTAGTACCTCAATGCTAGGTCCAATCTAACTTGAATATTTTGGTGAAAAGAGGAAACTTTGTCCCATATTTCAAGTTAATATATCGTTTTTTTGTCAATTTTTCATCCACTTATGAGAATTTCAGAACATTTTTCACTTGAAAAATTAATTTTGGTTGAATTTTTTGATGCACCCAAGTCGAATAGGCGGGGATATCTATATATTATTTTGAAGAGCATTTACTATTCTTCGAAATTGTGCACGGTAATTGTGATTCAATGCAATTTTCATCCAGTTATAGCAAATATTCTCCACTTTTTACGTTATGTCACGCGCAATAAATTAAAGTTTTTCCATTTGTCGAGGCTGTACATATGACCTGTGGGGATAAATCATGCAGGGATAGGCAATAATATTAGTTTTTGAAAATATTAAAAAGGATTATCTCCTTATATTGTTCAAAGTTCAACTGTATTTAACAAATTAAAAATATTATAGAATTTATTAGCTAAATTTTTCGATTGATGATGAATAATATATTTGATAATACTGAAATGTAATTTTTTAGTTAACCAGCTAATTCTAACTTTAAGTAATTGATTTTCGATTATCCAAATAATCGTCTTCCTACCTAAATTATTGGTTGATAGAATATTTTGAAATTTAAATGTACAAATTGATGGTGACTTATTGAAAATTTTCCAGATTTATGTTAAAAATTGACAACTTCACAATTTAACGATAATTATGGTTGATTGATATGCCTATCACTGAAATCATGCATCAATTTGAAGGTCCCATCGAGATTTTCAATTTGATACGCCATCTATTCCATCATCTATTCCATCCACCAAATCAATTGTTCTCCGCGATAATGTAGCGATTTTAGAATGTCATTTTTGAACATTTTTATGGTTTTCCTGTTAATGACAAGTTTTGCTCGGTTTTTGTTCAAATCTGTAGAGATATTTTATGTACAGGTGAAAATATATTAAATTACCGTGAAAATTACCCCTGAATTATTGGATTGAACCAAATTTTTATTAACATATGTGAGTTTTTAGTTCAACAATTAAATTTCATAATGTTTATGGTAAATTCAACTTGATTTGAATTTTTATATAACTATCGGTTAAGTGAATGAAACTATTCATATAACAGTTCACAGGATAGTTGATATTATCCAACAGAAACTTCATGGGAATGAGAATTTAAAAAAATGACATATTGACCTCATGCAACCGGGCTAGCGCGACAAAGCGCGCGTCCCGCCTAGTTATAAAAAAAATCATATTTAGAAATTTCCATTCGGATACCGTGAGGACGGCAGTTCTCGCACGGTATTCAGATCTCGGACGCAGAGCACTCTTACGATTGAATTTCAAATTAATTGCATATATCCATAGTGCTCGACGGCCATTTTCAGTTATTCTCTCCAAAAGTAGAATAAATTCTCCCCAAATTGCAATATTTATTAATATTTCACTAAGTGTACAGAATTATTACACTTATATTTATTCGAGGGTTCACACAGTAGGGGGGTCTGTGGAGTATTATGTAGTGTACGGACGGTAAAATCCATCTGTGCTTCTTAAGGATCTAACAACAAAATATAAGTGAAAAATTGTTTATAATCGGTTTTTATGAGTTGAAGGTTAATTTTCGAATAAAAATAGATGTGGACAGTTTAAAAAAATTAATAAATTATTGGAGAAATTGAGGGTCCGAGATCTGAATCCACCAAAGGCGAGGTGGGTTCAGTTCACGGACGTGTTTATCCATGTGCTTAATCTCAATCGCACGCATGAAGAAATTTGACAGAAAAACTTAGCACTTTCTCTGAGAAATTCTATTGCATTTCTAGTGGAATTCTATGAGAATTCTCTTGGAGTTCCATTAGAATTCTATTGGAAAATTCTATTCGTTTTTTGGACCATTTATATAGAATTTTATCTAATTTTACCGTTTCATTTGTTCAAGAGATTCGGTTTGAAAAAAGTAAATAGATTTTGAGATGTTTAATGAAATTCATGGGTGTAAATATTAGAATTTTTTTCTGCTAAATTTGTATTCGTTTTTGTTGCTAAAATNTTTTTGGACCATTTATATAGAATTTTATCTAATTTTACCGTTTCATTTGTTCAAGAGATTCGGTTTGAAAAAAGTAAATAGATTTTGAGATGTTTAATGAAATTCATGGGTGTAAATATTAGAATTTTTTTCTGCTAAATTTGTATTCGTTTTTGTTGCTAAAATTTGCTGAAAAAAAAATCTCAGAGAAAGCGCTAAATTTTTTCATTAAATTTATTCATACAGGCGTTCATCCCTGTCAGTGCTCTTATTCTCATGGAGACATTCTTCTCACGTTTTTGAAAAAAAATAATGATTCCCAAGAATAATAACAAAAAAAAATCATCCATTCTTCGACTCTTTCAGCCCTGCGACGCTTTCGCGACCTAGAAAATCAAAACCACCAGAGTATACTTTTGAGCAGTTAGAAAGTGCTCTGACGGCGATCAGAACAGGAAAATCTTTGGGATCAGTCAGCAAAGAATATAATATCCCTAAGTCAACAGATACTACAAGGCAAATGGCAATAAGACAAAAGCTGGGATCAACAGACCTGGCCCTAAGTGTATTGTGGGAGAATTTTATGAGAAGAAACTGGTAGAATGGATTTGTTATATGGCTGATAGGGGGTTTGCCGTCACTAAGGATCAATTGCAGAATTCCGTTCACAAACTGATGAAATCTCTTGGCTCAATTACTCTTAATTCATAATAATAATGGTTATTCATGGTTATCATTTAGTGTGTAATAAGTTTATGGCTATTGGAATGAGAATAGATCTGTCAAAAATATTTTTTACAATTGATTTCCTATATTTTTCCTTCTCCCAAACCCCTCTCATTCACTTCGTCCGAGAACTGAATTCATGTCGTCCGAGAACTGAAGTGGGTCAATTTTTGGCGTCCGAGAACTGAATCCGGGGAGCTGTCTTTTGTTTTAACAAATATTCATCGAATTCCGAAGTTTTTTAATAAAAATCAAACGTGTTCTTGTCCCAAAAACATCAAAAATGACTATGGAAACCGCAAACTTCATATTTGACGAGAAAAAAAAACGAAGAATCGGTTATTGATGGTCGAGTTACCCTTAACTGTCTGAGAACTGCCGCCCTCACGGTAACGCGAAAATGGTTGAGATGATTTGGCTCAGTATCCAATCAAAATCGAATGATTCTAATCTAATCCAATGATTCTAGGAATCATGAAATGTCTACAAATCATGGAAATTCCACTTTAGATTTTCGGGTTAATTATACCAACTTCCTCCATTAGGATTCGGAAGTTAATAACATGTAGATGCTTTGATCGTATAAAAAAAATCAAATACCATCGTCATCTGCGGTAAAATTGTTGAATTTTCAAATAAAACTAATTTTTTCAAATATTTTCACACATTTTTTGTGAATTAGTAAAAAACCGCTGAGGCGATCGGCTTCATAAACTAATCACTTCTAAGTTACATGAAAACACATTGATTGAAAAAAAAGTTAATCAAATTGCTTCATTTGTTCAGTAGATATCGTTGGACAAAATTTTCACCACATACACACACATACACACACACACGCACACAAACGTATTTCTAAAAACGTGTCAGTATGATTTTAGGGGTCATGAAATGTCGCCAAATCATGAAAATTCCACTTTTGATTTTCAGGGTAATTACAATAACTTCTTCCCTTAGGGTCGGAAAGTTAATTATGGGTCATCGGCAATACCACCACCATTCCCGATTACTTTTTTGTGGATTTCAAAAAGAATCAAGAAGACATTTCCACCAGAGTTAATGTACTGAGGAAAATTTCCTAATATGTTGACCATATTTACTTGAGAGAAGTAAATTTTTTTCAATGGCTTAAATCTCAGAATGTTTGCGCTTCACGAAATTCCAATAAATTCTCATTTATCACTATCGCTCCACCTTATATCGTGAATATATTACATATATCGAAACGTTGAAAATGCGTAACAAAATCATGGGAACAATGAATACTAAAAGATTGACGATTCTTCTACGCGATTTGAGTGCGTTCATTTGCAATAAAATCATACTTGAGTACAAGAATATTTTAAAACATGAGACCTTTCTTGGGTCACCTCAGTTGAGATGCCTGGGAGTTGCAAACATTAAAATTTTTTTTTCTCAGTGTGGGAACCTCAAAAACTCAATCCTTTTTCAAGAATAACATGAACGTTGTATACTGAGTTTTTTTCGCAATATATCGAGAATTGTTCCACTCATTTCCGATTAGTTGGATTTAAATTAATGCAATTGATAAAATGAGAACAATTAAAACCAAGAATTTTTCTTTTTTAGCTCTTCCCTGAATACAATTTACCTGAGTAGCTGGTGCCCAATGTCCAAATATTGTCTCACTATTGGGATCCATGATAAATCCCCTGACTGGTATCATAGGCGATGTGGGCCCATTAACAGCATAAAGTGTATTACCTACAAAAGAAGAAATAACCATAAAAATGACAAAAACATGCAACGGACTCCATTTGCAATATAGTTTTTATGGGTAAAAACTACGATAATATTTTCGGCAGTAAATGCTTAATAATTCGCTTGAAAACGGAGGAGAATCAAACGTTACCATGCGCAGCAATAGCGAAAACCCTGCCGAGGTCTGGCTGATGTAGCGTTAGGGGTGGTCCGCGTTTCTCGTCATTGTTGCTACCCATACGAAGACCAATATTCAGGCAAATTACTCTCATGTTCTCACGATCAGCAACACAGACGTCTCCTTGCTCGAGAATTGCCAGAGCATGCGGCACTCGGAGCGCGACAAATTCTACGAAAAAACATGGAAATTAAAGGTAATGATGGTAATTATACACTGAGAAAAAAACGACGGAGTTCTCAAACAAGTCTTACTTATGCCAAAAAAATAGTTTTTTTTAAATGATTAAAAACGGATTTTTTTGGGCAAAACATGCAAAGAATGCACCGAGATTGAACATTTCTTTCACAAAAATAGATTTAGTAGCTTTAAAAAATTCTATTCTCTGTGCGAGCAAAAAATGTCATTTCTAGCACAACTTCCCAGTAAACAAAATTGTCCGATGAGTTAAAATTTACCAGCAATTCTTGGATACTATTATCCTCAAAATGGCTGAGGGATTGCTGTCAATATGACGACAATTTAATCCCAAATGGAGATGATAACCCAGAAAAGTTATCATCAGGTTATCGGAAATACATACTGCAAATTAGTAGCAAAAATTGACGGTACATTGTCGAACTTGAATGTGCGCAACTCTTCAGATGAAATTTGCCGTCAATTTATCGACAAAATAAGGGATAATGTTGACGATTTCTATTTCAATATTATCACACCATTCAATGTCAATTAGTTGCATAAAAGTTGACTCTAAATTTCTAATAATATTATCAATTGATTCGACATCAATTTACTGTTAAGTTGTCGGCAATTAGAGAGTCAATTAGTGGACTAATTAGTATTCTATTCATCCCAAATGAAAGGAAAGATATGGATTCTTCCAAGAGGGTGTGTTGTGGGACAGATTTGTAATGTTTCGATTAATATTATAACTTATTAATAAAAAGCCGGAATAAACAATTCTATTGCAATTGTCGTCTATTAATGTGGACGTCCACATGAAAAGAGTCTACTTCGTTGCATCTTGTTTCC